TGGAATTAACAGCATTTATAGCATTTATGAAATTAAATATTTATTGTATTTATTTAGCTGGTTGTTCCATTGGTTGACATCTGAAGATATTCCCTGAGCAATTGATGACTCCATTGATGAGATTCTTGGTGACAGTTGACATATTCCAGCATACGAAGTGTTGCGTACGGTGAAGAGAAGCCAAAAAAAATAGTGTCCCAAATAAAAGAAAAACGTGTAACATATGAATTGCATATGTTACATACTGTATATAAAAAAAATTCCAAAAATAAAGCAACACAGCAGCATACGAATAGCGTACGGTGTAAAAAAAAATATCTCAAAGAAATCAGCAAAGCAGCAGCCTACGGATAGCGTATGGTGCAAAAAAAAATATCTGTATTATAAACACTGTCAAAAATAAAACATTCAATCTACCAACATACGAATAGCGTATGGTACAACAGATTCAATCCTGTAGCATGCGAATGGCGCATGGTACACACTCAAATAAATCATACAATATAAATACAATGTAGCATACGAATTGCGTATGGTACCATATATGAATAAGGTAATATAATGAAAGCGTCTTGACCCCGCTTGTGGTCACATACCAACAACATTTTAGGGGAGATAGGCCAATGCTGGATAAATAAGATCGGCAATGCTGAATGAATGTGGATGGTTGATTAGAAGAAGTCTCTCATGACTACTTTTATATGTGACGGATACCGGAGCACACAGAAACACATAAAATACTAAATTTACCGTTATCATTATTGTTTTTTTATTAGATATGACGCACTCAAAATGCAATATCATGTTAAAAGGATAAATAAAAAATACACAAAGACAGTCACATATATAATACAGATGCCTACAAAATTGTGATAGGGTCTAGCCTAATGATATTATAAACTTTTATATCATTATGTAATTAATTTATGACTAGGCCTCTTACTGTATATGCATTAGTTCAAAATAAAAATTTAAGAAAAACAAATGAAAATTGTAAACAAGGGCGCTGCGATAGCTGTCTCTTATACACATCTAGATGTGTATAAGAGACAGACCCCAACATGGTGGGCCTGATGTAAACACATTTTGAAATATGGCATCTCTAGATTCGGATTCCTAAATTAGCAGCTACCCCTATTCAAACCCCATGGATGGGAGGTACTGTACAGTATTTCATTTCTTTAGGTATCAGTATACAGTATATTTAATTAAAAATGTAATTGCGTTGAGAAAGTGGTCCTGCCAAAGCGGGTGCGGTCGTGCGGTTCCGATGGCCCTGTTTTAGCCAAAGGTTCTTGCTTGCCTCAAATGCTCAGGAGGTAAATAAATTCAAATTACTAAAATTAGACTTCCATTGGACATAGGACCCACTGAACTTCGATGGACATTCGACCCATTCTAGGATGCCATGGTAGCTATTGGACGGTCAAACGATGGGTTGATTGTGATCGCAAAATATTTTAAAGTGGGGAAGTACATACCTTGCTTTGCTTATATATTGGAAAATGATAAATTAGGCATTTAGAAAATCAAACAGAAACGGTGTTTTCCCTCAGAGCTT